TTAGCTTGAAAGCAAATATGCAACAATCGATGAAAAAACAAAACGTGTGGAAGCTGAAAATGCGAAGCTAAAAAAAGCAACGGAACGTTTGAGGCGGCTGATCGAAAGTAAGGATATTGAGACAATAAAGAAGGAGCAAAATGAACTCTTCGCTACACTCACCAAAATTTCTCCTGTAAATTTTTTTTTTTCTTAAATGAAACAACTTCTGAATAGTTCGCGATTTCCAAGTGCTCAAATTTTTGCATTCATAACGATGATTTCCGACTTTGAATATAGTTTATCGCTTGTTTCTTTGAAAAGTGTGCTACTGATTGATTATGAACTACTCCGAGCCAAATTGGAAAATAATTTTAACTGAAGGGATCGATTGATGCTAGTCAAGGTGGGCCGTCTCCCCCTGTGCCATACCTCAGTTGTCATGAGAAGTAGAAGCACTCCAAGCTAGCTGGGTACAGCCGGCGGCAGAAATTCCGTCATAACTCATTGTCATGACAGTTCTTCTCTTCAAAATTTTATATTAAGCAATTTAGTATCCCTGTAATTTGTTTGGTTTTTTTGCTATTCAACTCTTTTTGGTTTTTCATATGTCCTTTCCTTCTGGAAGGGTACGTACAGCGTCACTGATTGATCTGCATGCAGATCTTTGGCTAAGATTTTGTTTGGCTGAAATGATACGGAAAATATTCTCTTTTTTTTTTGTGTTTTAGATAGTTGAAAATCAAGGCTTTCCTGGTGCTGCTTTTCACACTGATCCCTTCGCTTCAGCTACCCGGCAAGGTTTGCATTTTGTGCAATTTCTTCTCACCGAAGATTGCTTGTGAAAAAAAGATCACTGTGCATAGATTCGGTGAATTGGACGAATCTCACCTGTGGACAGCAATGAGGGATAGCCGATTATTTGGCACTTTGCACCAATCTGCAAACAAAAACATGGCATATTAGAAGGATATTATAGCCAGTACATCCAATAAAGGTTAAGAATGTGATGCAATTGACGACGACTACTAACAGGAAGCAGTGATGCAGTTGGCGACGACTACTCCTTCCCTTAGTCGAACGACAGATTTGCTTTTATGCCTTAATTGCGCAAGGCCTATGATGAGGAATCTTCGACAATATCTCGGCAATTTACTGAAGAGATTTATCCCGTGTTAGCTATTGGAATCTCCACAGAACCAGAACCGCTTTATTTTTTATTTGAAAGAATTTGCAGATGTGGTATTCGAATGTGATCCATTTGCAAGCAGCAACAGCACACCATTCGCCAGTTTCGATGCTTTCTCGGGAAAAGATCCATTTAGTTCGGAGCAGACAGTGAAGTCGCCATCGGCTTACCAAGCTTCGTCCACAAAAGCACCGCCACCACGGCCTGCACCACCGAAAACACGCCAGACTCCGGTGAACGCCATTGAGCCGGATCCCTTTTCTGGATCGTAAGTGTTTTTATTCAAAATCAACCTGTCTATGAACCCACATTCTGAACCTTTTCCTTTTTTGTGAAAATGAAGCCAAACAAATAGGCTCCAGAGCTGATCACACTTTCCAATTTTCTTCCATATTTTTTGTAGTATTTATTTTGGCGATCACGTGAGGGAGTAAAATCCGATAGGCAGGGACAAATTACTTTTTTTGGGCTGTGGGGGGCGCATTATTAAGGAATGGTACCTCAGAGAAAATAGAACAATCGATGAGGTGGCGCAAATACATGGATACTGACAACTAGCTGAAGGTGTGCAGTTCAGATGCTTGGACTGTTATAGTCGCACCGAGCGTGTGTGTGCGTGTCTGTGTATTCTAGTAACAATAGTAACTTGGAGTCTGTACATTGATTGTTATTTTTTGTACGTACTGACTGCACAGTGGTTTTCACAGAGATCCGTTTGCTGGAAGTGGTGGTTCGACAGTAGCAGCAGCGAATCAGTTCGCCGATTTTGCTGATTTCGATGCTTTTGCAAAGTCTTGAGAATATGCTCGCATCAAATATTCTATATTTTGTATACTTATTGTGTATGTGGTATTTTCATTAATTTATTGTACTGTTAGTGCAATAGTGCAAGCATGAAATGAAAAAACTTAGTGATCCTAGTTGTACTACTTAATAAATTCTATCGAAAAATATCGCGCAGCAACTGTTCTCAGTAAACCTGTTTGTATATAAATGTGGCGCAAATTTCACAGTATCGTCCACATTCTCAAAGTGTCGAACCAGGTTGACCCCGTGTTCAATTCTCTTCACTTCTACTGTGGCGAAAGTAATGACAGAGGAATGCGAAACGTGATCACTGACGAAAGCTGAAAAGTGATGGAGTGAACGATGTAGCGACGGAAACACCATTAAATCGTTCTCTCGGCCACTCCTCAGATTACTCGTTTCATTGCGGTACTTTGTCGCAGATGACTTGCTTCTCCTTTTCATTTGATCACAGCGGCACCTTGTCTGCTACTTAGTTAAGTTCTCTTTTCCCGCATATCCCAATGAAATTTGTGTAGCCAGGAAGAAAGCGCCTCTGGTTCTATTGCCCTCTCGGTTCCACTGATCCAAAACCGGTGGGACTGCAAAAAATTTGGACTGGTTCTTCCGACAAGGCACTGTGAAATCACCGGCAACGCACACTAGACGGGCCGGTGCGATTATGCGTTTTTGAACTATTTCATGCTCTAGCAACATTAGTGCTTAGAATTTGTGATATACTCGCCCTCTAAGTTCAGGAAGCTAAACTTCCAGGGCGAGTATGTCACAAATTCTAGCTATTGGGATTCCGAAAAAAATCTTAATGCTAAATCTCAGTGGTTTCCTGTGAGAAGCTGTTCTTCATAATCATTCATAACAAGAGAGCAAGTATGAAATTTTTTCAAAATGCGAAGGCAGTTCCGTGTGCGTCACAGTGTTATTCAGCTGCCAGAAATCCATGTACAGTATTTGGGAATTCATCTACTGTTGTCATTCCGATATGGTGCATAAAAATAATTGCTCTGATAAATATCTTTTCAAGTTTCCACGGCATTTTTATGCGTTTTTGGCAGCTATGCAATGCAAAAACGCATATTGTCGGGGAGTTGTCTGTGTGTGTTTGTATGTATGTGTGTGTGTGTCTGTGTGTGCGTCTGTAACGAGTTTTCATCTCGAGATCCACAAAA